TATTATTAATATTATTATTATTATTATTAAGACCAATTAGAACTCGAGCTACACAGATGAGTTTCACACAAGTGTCCAGTACCAAAAAGCTTCCAGCTGCATTTATTTATACTTTAAAAATAAGCATATAAAAAAACAAGCATTTTTTGCATACTAACAAACAAGTTTTTCCCATCCTCCAACATTACCCTCCAGCAAAAAGAAATTTGCCAAATATGTTTTTCCCCCAACTTTTACATTAAAACATCTTTAAACCAAAACAACATATCATTTTGCTAGCTTGGCCAAATACCAGAGGTAGGTACATCCTGTGATTCTCAAAACTAAAGGTGATTGACATAGGCATACATTTTCAAGAACAACAATCCTGCCGGGTGGTGGTGGTGCATGCTTTTGATCCCAGCACTTGTGAAGCAGAGACAGGCAGATCTCTGTGAGTTCAAGACCAGCCTGGTCTACAGGAGCTAGTTCTAGGACAGCCTCCAAAGCCCTGTCTTGAAATATATGTATATATATAAAATCCCATTCAAAACATATTTATAGAAATGGGTGATCTGCATACGATCCTCTCAGCACTGAATCAGAACAGCTTCTGGGGTCTGGAGTAACAGCTGGCATCCCCAGGCAAGAAATCTGAGATGCATCAATTCCCAAATAATTTTAGGTAAAAGTATTCCAGAAGAAATTAGGGTTTTCAGGAATGATCACCTCTGTCCCGTGCATGGTTGCAAAATGACACTAAAACTACCAAGAGTATAATCAATATTATGAGAGAGAAGAGTGTGTGCTGTGCAGGCTGTGAAGTCCCAGCAGTATTCTGCAGTCTTGAAATCCACTAGTCCTTGTTGAGTGCAAGTGTCCCCCTGGGCTTTTGCCTCACCTGAAGACCCATTGGACAAGCACTCATACTGGAGCATTTTTTTTTTTTCCAGGCAGCAGATCAAGGTTTGACTCCCATCACCCATATGGTGGCAGCTTGCAATTATTCATAGCTCCAATTCCAGGGAATCTATCATCATCTTCTGGGTTCCTGGGTACTGAATGCCTGTGGTGCACAGCCATACATGGAAACAAAACACCCACACACAATATAACAGTGGAACTTAGTAGGGATGAGCTATTTTATTATTATAGTAGTGGTTTCTTGATAGTTTTTTTTTTTTTATGTATATGTGTGACTGCTTGCTTGAATGTGTGGGCACCATATTTGTGCCTGGTGTATGGAAGACAGAGAAGGACATGAAATCCCCTGGAGCTGGAGCCACCAGGTGTGGGTGCTGGAAACTGAATTTGTCCTCTAGAAGAGCAATTCCTGTTGTGCCGTTTCTCTAACCTCATGTCTTAGTTAGGGTTTCTGAATGCAGGCAGATGTGCTGCTGGAGTAATAAGGATCCCACATCTTGCAGGCAACCAGAAGTCAGCTGAGACACATAAAATAAGAATAAACAAATCATTTAAAAAGATTTAAAAAAAGACTACTAGATGTCATTAAGTTCCATTTTATTACTTCTAAGGCTGTATATTGGTGTTTTGTTTATGATCTAACAAATAAATATTATTTCCTTCTCGGTTCTCTGAGGGAGTTGAAGCCCAGATAGTTACAGTCTTCCTTGGTTACCAGATTCAGAAAAGAAATTCACTAAAGAGATGTAAAGTGTAAAAGGTTGAGAAACATTAAAAGATTGCTTGATAATGCAAATTAGAATGCAAAGTGAATTAGGTACAACCCTTGGAACTCACCAAGATAGGATAGATAATGGAGTATTTTCTCTGGATTTGTCAAATGCAAACAGACTAGACATTGTTGATGCACTTACTGCCTATAATTCTTGTACATAGTTTTTATTATATTAATTGTAATCTTTTTGTATTAGACAAAAAGGGGGAATTGTGGTGATAGTTTGTTTATGATCTAACAAATAAAGCTTGCTTGAACATCAGAAAAGCAAAGCAGTCAACCACTAGAGAGTTATTACCTCTACCAAGGCTGGGTTGATCCTGTCCTCAGCATGACTGCAGACTGAGTACACTGCCCTCCTGTCTCCTCTGGCCTGATATTCCTCCCTAGTGCTGGGGTTAAAGGTGACCACTACCGGCCTAACCTCTATGGCTAACTAGTGGCTGCTATGATTAAAGGTGTGTGCCACCACTGACTGGCCTGTATGGCTGACTAGTGTGTCTAGCTTTGCATTCTGATCTTCAGGCAAGCTTTGTTTGTTACATTTGGTACATGTATTCTAACAAAGAACTTAACATGTAACAGTCATTAAATACTATGTGTGCACACAAGACTACAGGTGGGTTCAGTCAAAGTATGAAGGTCTGTGCTTTTACTCACTGCACCCTCCATATCCAGTCCTTAAACATTTAAAAATGTTAGCCATTTGTCTCTTCTGTTTCAAAATGACCTTGTTTTCAGTCAGCTGTCTTAGTCCACTTGTCCCATATAAGAGGATATTTGAGTTGACTAGCTTAAAGAACAGCATGGCTTCTCATGGTCCTGGTGGCCAGGAAGTCCAAGATGAAGGCATGGGTGTCTGGTGAGGGCTTTCTTGTTTGTTCATATAGCTAACATTGGAAATCAAAAGAGAAAAACTCCCACTGTCCAATCCACGTAGAAGGGGCATAATGTCATCAACAAGGGATAAGCTTTTAGATTTCATCAACTCTGAAATGCCCTAGCTCAAGATGCTATCACATTGGTGACATCTGAATTTTGCAGGGTTTTGTTGAAAGCAAAGCAATTCTGATGCACCAGCTGCTGCTATTATTGGAGAAAAAAAATCCAACAAGTGATCCCAAACTCGAGTTTCCTGCCAACACTAATTTATGACTTAGTCTATTATTAAATAAATCTTACTTGATTAATAACTTCAATTATTTTTAATCTGTGTGATTAAAATCTTAGTTATCTGAGATTATATTATCTATTTACTTATGGCTTTTTGAGACAGGGTTTTTCTGTGTAACAGCCATAAATATCTTGGAACTGGAGATACAGACTATGCTCACCTCAAACTCACAGAGATCCATTCACTTCAGCCTTCGTAGTGCTGGGGTTAAAGGCATGTGCCAACCACTATATATATATATATATATATTTGTGGCTGCGTTTTTTCTTTTTTTAAATTTATTTTTTTATAGCCAAGTCCATTTAAATGAAAACAAACATTTATAGACAATATTTGGGAATTTGGGTGTTGTTCTTTCCAAACTACTTCCTGCTGGTAAGGGGCAACCCTTTATATTTTTTAAAGGGCCAACATTGTAGTATTGCCAGTCCTTTCTACTTCAAAGGCTGAAGTTGGAGAATCACTCAACCCCAACCAAAAATAATAATGATCAAACCTCATAAGGTCAGTGGTTGCACATGCTTAACCCCAGCATTTGGGAGGCAGAGGCGGGTGGAGGGATCTTTGGGAGTTCAAGGTCAGCCTGTTCTACAAGAGTTCCAGGATACCCAAGGCTACACAAAGAAATCTTTCTTTAGGAATATGGAGAGATGGCTCAGTGATGAAGAACACTAGCTGCTCTTCCAGAGGATGAGTTCAATTCCCAGCACCGACATGGCAGCTCCAACCTGTTCCAGTTCCAGGGGATCTGACACCATCACACAGATATACATGCAGGCAAAACACCAATGGTGTGTGTGTGTGTGTGTGTGTGAGAGAGAGAGAGAGAGAGAGAGAGAGAGAGAGAGAGAGAGAGAGAGAGAGAGAGGGAGAGAGAGAGTCTTAATATGTAGCCCTTCTTTCCAAGAACTTGTGTAGTTCAGACTGCGCTCAGACTCAGATTCACCTGCTTCTTCTGAGACCTAGAATTAAAGATGCAGGGCACCACCAAAAACAAAAAACAAACAAACAAACAACAACAACCCAAAACAACAAAGGTTTGAACTTTCTGGTGTCTTTGGACACTTTAATATAAAAATAATATACAATAAAATACATGATGAAGGTAATCGTTGTGCACATGCTTATAAAAGGAATGCAAGCTTTGAAATCTTTAAAAAAAAAAAAGTCAGACCCCCAAATAATTTGCTGTTACATAAACTTTTCTATTAAGTCATAAAAGACTAGTCAGCTTTTCAGAGCAACCGTAATCAAAATGAAGTATGGGTTTCTACGGACCAAAGCGTACGGTATATGGAAATTATGACCCAACCCATTATTAAAGTGCTTTATTGAATGACATCAGCAGCTGAGCGATTCATATATTGCCACAAATGAGGTGACTCAGGCAGATCGTGAAACAGACAGACAAGGGAGGGAAGAGGAACATCACGTCGTTTGCCTGCCCCTTTGAGAGAACAAATTCCGTGTGATTTGATAGCTGTGGAAGTTAGCACTCAGGCATCTGTACCGGCCTGTCCTTGGGGTTCTGACAGGACACACCCTCAGGGGCAGCCACTAAGAGCACCTCCTGTGCACATTCACTAGGTTCCCTTTTAAAAGGGCCCTGCCCACCTCCCCTCCCTCTCTCTCCCACTCTTTCTCCTCTCTCCTGCTGCTCCTGTCTCCAGAGGCGGGTCTCCCCGTTCCCCTTCCCTATGATCCCTTTCCCTAATAAAAGACCTCTCTGCTTGAACCCTGTCGCATGGAGTCTTTCCCTCATGCACTGCTTTTCTTAAATTACAACAGAGGGAAAGGGAGCCTTAGTTTTTATTCAGGTCTATTGTGTGCCAACTACCATGCCAGGTAGTGTAGTTGGTAAAATATGTGTTCATATACTCCCTGTGCGTTCAACACTGAAAGCTCTGAAAGACTAATGGTTTGGAAGACTTTCTGAACCCCTAATATATGAAGCCTTTGTTGTTTTAGTCAGGGCTTCAATTTTAAGACCCACAGCACAAAAAAACCTAGTGGGAAACTGCCTGACCGCCTGAAACCTAAGTTCGCAGGGCGGAACTAGACCCTCAGGGCGCTAGCGACCGGTCTGCGCCTGCGCAAACGCGGCCGTCCCTCGCACGGCGCCTGTGTACCGGCGCATCTGCGCATGTGTCATTGGTGAGTGGCGGGCGCTGAGTGGAGCAGAGGCCTAAGGGCTTTAGGTGGGTTTGGGCAATTTCGGGTGGGTTCCGTGGCGGCGGCGTGCGTTCAGTGGTGACTTCGGCGGGGCCTGGCCGTCTACGGACCGGGCTCGCTAGCTACGGGGTGGGGCTCGCTGTCCACAGGACGGGCTCTTTGCCCACGGGGCGGGGCTTTCCGTCCACGGGGCGTGGCTTTCCGTCCACGGGGCGGGGCTCTTTGCCCACGGGGCGGGGCTTTCCGTCCACGGGGCGGGGCTCGCGGTCCACGCTGACCCTTTGAGACTTTCCTAGTGGTCCGGGTCTCGGCTCTGCGGGGTTCGTGACCTGGGTATCTTGACCCGGAAACAGGTCCTAGCATCCCGCTGGTGGTCAGGTTGGAATGGCGGTCTAACCGGAAGTGGGGAGGAAATGGGGGGGGGGAGACACTTGCTGGCAACCTGGGTGTACTCTAATTTGTGTGTGCATGGCCTGCTTTCTTGGTGGAAGTTATGGTGGGGTTTATTTTTGAGATGTCTCACTGTGTACCCCAGGCCGATCTCGAACTCATTGCTCCTCTTGCTTCACTAGAGCTGTTCTTACACCTGCACCACCACACCCCAACAATCTTCTTTTCAAAAATTAAATAAACGCCTAATAGGCTAAGCAGTATTCAGAAAATGAGACGGAAGGACTTGCCTCGGGCAAAGAGCCTGGTCTGAAAGAAGAAGCACAAAATTTTCATAGCTAGCCTGTGGTGGGGCGCGCCTTTAATCCCAGAGGCAGGCAGAGCAGAGTTTGGGGCCAGCCTGGTCTACAGAGCGAGTTCCAGGACAGCCAGGCTATGTAGAGAGACCCTGTCTGAAAACGTGTGTGTGCGCGCGCGCGTGTGTGTGTGTGTGTGTGTGTGTGTGTGTGTGTGTGTACGCACACGCACACACGCACATGGGCCCAGTTATAAAGCAAAACCATCTGTGATTCCAGCTCCAGAGGATCCAGTGGCCTCCACAGGCACCTACATTCACATACTCAGACCCCCACACATAGAATTTTTCATTTTTATTTTAAATTATTTCTTTACAAAATTGTTGATGTGTGTATGTGTGTGAGCTCCATGAACATATGTAAACCATATATGTGCTGGCAGAAGCTCATCTGCATCATCTGGAATTGGAGTTACAGGAGGTTGTGAGCCGCCATGTGGGAATCGAGCCTTCGTCCTTTGGTAGAGCAGCCAGTACTCTTAAACTGGAGCCATCTCTACCATCTCTAGCCCCACATAGTTCCTTTTTTTTTTTTTTTTTTTTTTTTTTTTTTTTTGGTTTTCAAGACAGAGTTTCTTTATGTAGTCTTGGCTGTCCCAGAACTCACTCTGTAGACCAGGCTAGCCTTGGCCTCCCAAGTGCTGGGATTACAGGCATGTGCCACCACCATCCAACTTGACCTAAATTTCTTCCAGAAGGTATTATAAATAGTATATGGAAACATACAGTATTGTTAGTTGTTTTGGGAGATAGATTTGATGCATGGTAACAGAAGATTTTCATATAAGTAAGGAATCCTAGCCATGAAGTGGGGTCCAACTCCTTTAATCCCAGCACTTGGGAGGCAGAGGCAGACAGATCTCTAGCCAGCCTGGTCTACAGACTGAGTTCCAGGACAAGCAGGGCTCCATAGAGACATCTGTCTCAAAAGAGAGAGAGAGAGAGATCCTTCCCTGTATTCAATGATGTTGAGCCACAGTTCTGTAATAGAACAATTCCCATATTGCCATTTCTTTCTCTCTGAAGTTCCTCAACCTAAGGGCTGGTTCTATCTTTGAAGTGGAGGGTTGTCTTCTGAACTATAGAAAGTTCAGCAACATAGCTGGCTGTTATCTATTGGTTACCAGCAATACCACTGATTACCACTACAAAAAATGTTTCCAGATGTTTGCAATTGTTTATCTTAGGAGAAGAATGACTCCTGGTTTTTCAGAACACTGATCTAGAATAGGAGCCAGGAATGACTCCAGGGCAGTTTAATGATAACATCACTTCAGACCTGAAAATCTCTTTAACAGAACTTCACAAATCCACTGAGATATTATAAAAACAATATAAAACAACCATATGGGGGTAGCGCATACTTGTAATCTCAGGAATCTGAGGCAGCAGGGTCATGAGTGCCTAAGATGCATAGTGAGTTCCAGGACAGCCTGAGCTACATAATGAGACCCAGTCTTCTGTATTCCTTCCCCCACCCAACACACAAAAGGTTAGTAATGACAGAAACTTCTGCTTCCACCATTACCTTAGTAAATAAACACCAGACTCACACAAAAATAAATAAAATCTATGCTTACTATCAGCAAATGTTTGATTTGATTGTTTTTTAATTCTTATTATTTTTACTTTATCCACATTGGTATTTTGTCTGCAGGTATGTGTTTAGGAGGCCATCAGACAGGAGTTAGACAGTTGTGAGCTGCCATGTGGGTGCTGGGAATTGAACTCAGGTCCTCAGGAAGAGCAGCCAATCCTCTTAACCGCTGAGCCATCTCTCCAGCCCCTTGACTTGATTATTTTCTATGCCTGTGTATGGGGGACGACAAAAACCTCCTTATGAGAAAGGATCACGAGTTTAAGGAGATTTTTATATATTGCTGTGTGACCGAGTGATAAAGTTGTACTTCCTAAAGTAATGGTGTAAGTGAGGTGTAGTTTGCTGCCATGCCTCATTTGTAGTGTACTGTGCAACACGGGTGGGCGCTGGCCAAAGCCACAGGTTCCTGTGTGCCGAGTGCTTCAGTTAACTTTTGGGTGTTACGTGTTCAGTAACCTTTTATTGATGACAACACTCCCCCATACACATTTAGTTTTGAAACAACCTCATATATGAGGGCATAGCCTTCAGTTTAAGAAGTTAAAGAACATCTAGGCTATGTACACATACGTTTTTCAAGGTTTCGGGCACTAAATAAAAAAGTACAGTGATCCCTCTGTGGGCACCAGGCATTCGTGTGGTGCACAGACCTGCATGGAGGCAAAAATACCCATACACGATAAAAAGAAAAGGGATTGGATATATTAAGTGTAGATATGAAGCAGCCTTCTGTTTGTAGACGTGAAAACTGCAGTGTCAAAGGTGAGAACTGCTGAGACGACTCAGCGATAAAGTTTTTGTGGACAGGCCCGTTGAACTGAGTTTGATACCCAGAATCCACATGGCCAACATTTTTGTTTTGTTATCAGATTTGCTGAAAAACTAGAAACCCCTCAGATACAAGAACCTCCGTAAACCCAAAGTACTAGAAACTTGTGGAATGTTCAACAGGGCAAAAACAAATAGAAAAATCTTAAAGACCACCGGGGAACAAAGACAAAAAAATATGAGTGAGAAGTTTCATTAGAGCTTGTTGTATGTGCAGGTGCACAGGTGTGGACAGTGCTCACGTGGAGGTCAGACACAGGTGTGGACAGAGCCTTACCTTTTCTTTTTTTTGTTTGTTTTTGAGACAGTGTCTCTCTGTAACCTGGCTGGCCTGGAACGGGTGTGTAAATCAGGTCAAGTCAGAGATCCACAAGTCAGAGATCCACCTGCCTCTGCCTCCCAAGTGCTGGGAATAAAGGTTTGCACCCCCAATACTGACGATCCTACCTTAGTTCCATATTTCTCTCATTTTTGCTGCATCCATCTCCTGTCTATTTTCCTGAGGCCAGGCTAGCATATGCATGTCACCTCATCTGTAATTTTGTTTGTTTGTTTTAGATTTTATTTATTTGTATTTTATGTGTATGAGTATTTGCCTTAATGTGTATCCATTCACCACATGTGTGCCTGGTGCCAGTAAAGGCCAGAAGCAGGCATCAGATCCCCTGGGACTGGAGTTACTGACTTGTGAGCTGCCATGTGGTTGCTGAAGATAGATCCAGGTCCTCTGGAAGAGCAGCCAGTGCTTGACTGCTGAGCCATCGCTCCAGCACCTTGTCTGGGTGTCTTTACAGGGATTCCAAAGATTGACCTCAGGATATCAGGGTTGTGTAGCCAGTGATTTCGCCTGCGAAGCCAAAACACCAGCCCTAGGAAGTTTTAAATATGTATGCTTTCTGTATAAAATTCACCTCTGGACGGGCAATGGTGACACACCATTAATTCCAGCACTTGGGAGGCAGAGGCAGATGGATCTCTGAGGCCAACCTTGCCTGCAGAGTGAGTTCCAGGACAGCCAGGGCTACACAGAGAAACCCTGTCTCAATGGGGGAAAAAAAAAATTCGCTTCTGTTTGGGTTATTGTCTTGAGTTTAATTTTCCTCATTGTTATTTGGTGGGCCGAGGAAACAAGGCCATGCAACATATATTCTTGCTCTGCAGGTTATAGACAATTTGTGAAATGAGTGATTCAGAAGATGATGATATACCCCAGCTTTCTTCCCACGCCTTAGCAGCTCTCCAGGAATTTTATGCTGAGCAGAAGCAGTCCACCAGCCCAGGAAGGGATGATAAATATAATGTTGGGGTAATAGAGGAGAATTGGGTAAGTACAGGCATCCATGTTGGGAAATATCGGTGTGGTACCTACCATTGCCTAGTCATTGTTTTATCTGTCCTTCCCTCTAGCACCTGTCATTCAGAAACTGAGGACACTATAGGGAGCAAGAGCAGGAAGCCGACAGCGGACAGACAGATGTCCTGGGACAGTACATGCAGGTTTACCTGGCTCTGACTGGCAGGCTGGCTGGTGATTGAAGGAGGGGTTTTACAGGTAGTGGGATAATGTCATGTCCATACATGACTTGTGCTTTGTCCTTGGGTAGAGGCACACCCTATTGATCTTCCTAGAACCCAACAGTCCTGATGGAAAAAATTCATGTATTGTTTCAGTAAAAGGGTAGCTCAATCTAACATAATGAAAAAAATCAATGAGAAAAGTTTTAAGAATGTTAATTTCTAGTTTTATACATTTATACATTTGCGTTTTGTAACCATACATAAAGTAGGTGTACCAGGGCAATAGTGCGTCCTGTAATCGTAGCCCGGCAGGAGGCAGAAGCAGAAGCAAGCAGCCTCAGGTGAGCCTAGGCTACATAGTGAGTTTAGGAAGAGCTTGAGATATATAGCAAGCCCTGTCTCAAAACAGTAAAATAAAAACGAAGTAGGGGGCCTGGAGAGCTGGCTCAGTGGTTAAGAGCACTGGCTGCTCTTCCAGAAGTCCTGAGTTCAAGTCTCAGCAACCACATGGTGGCTCATAACCATCTAAAAATGAGATGTGGTGCCCTCTTCTAACCTGAAGACAAACATGTAGACAGAACACTGTACATAATAAAGAGATAATTTTTTTTTAAAAGAAGTAGGTATTAAAAAACTAAAACTGTTGAGGGAAGCCCCTAACATAAGTTTTCGAGTTTGACTTTTTTTTTGTTTTTGAGACAGGGTTTCTCTGTACCTTTTTGAGGCTGTCCTGGAACTCACTCTGTAGACCAGGTCGGCCTCAAACTCAGAGATCCGCCTGTCTCTGCCTCCTGAGTGCTGGGATTAAAGGCATGTGCCACGACCACTTGGCTCCTCGTGTGTTTGTATTTGTTGTTTTGTTCAAAGCTGGCTTTGAGTGCCTGCTCTTTTGCCTCTACCTCCAAGTGCTGGGTTTCCAACAAAAATAACCAGGGACTAGGAATATAGTTCATTGGTAGACCACTGCCTAGCGTGTATTCCACATATGTATTCCTGTGTTCCATACCTAGCAATATACACACACATGCACACTACACACAAACACATTCATGCACACCGAGACACAAGGAAAGCAAGAAAATTCTGGATGTGGGTAGTAAGTAATATCCAGGAGCAGAGTTGGGGAAATGGCTCATTAGTAAAGGACTTTTCGTGCAGGCATGAGGACCTGAGTTTACCTTCAGCACCTAGGTAAACCGCTGGGAGCAGTGACACACACTTGTGATCCCATCACTGAGGACATACATAGAAGACTCTAACCCTTCTCCAAGAAGAGCGGGTCACCCTAGAACCTCAGGACTAGCGCCCCATTGCCCCTCTCAATAACTTGATTAGAAACCAGAGCTCTAAAGCTGGACTTGATGGTACACTTGTGTTACCCAAGCTCTGGGGAGACAAGCGGAGCTCTGTGAGTTCAAGGCTAGCCTGGTCTACAGAGTGAGTTCCAGGACAGCTAGGGCTGTTACACAGAGAAACCCTGTATAACATACACATACACACACACACACACACACACACACACACACAGAGAGAGAGAGAGAGAGAGAGAGAGAGAGAGAGAGAGAGGGAGGAAAAGAAAGACAGAAACTAGAACTCTAGGTGGTAATGTTTGTTTCCCAGCACACAGGAGGGTGGAGACAAAGGTTCAGGAGCTTGGAGTTCTCAGCTACATAGCAAGGCTGAGGTCAGCCTCATCACTACTACTCATAAAAGAAACTGGATTGCTAGCTGTGGCGGTGGCTGCCTTTAATCTGGTGGGGGACTATCTTTGAGTTCCAGATCCAGTCAGGGCTACATAGTGAGACTCTGTCTCAAAAGAAAGAAGGGATGGAGGGAGGATGGGAGGGAAGAAAGGAGGAAAAATAAAGGTAGAAATTCAGAATTGTAGCGGTATTCTGATAAAAATTGTGTTCAGCTAAGCTGTCAGTCAAGTGTGAGGACAGAGTAATACAGTTTAGACTTGCAGCACTCCCAGCAGAAGGGTCTGCTCCAGCAAGCAAACCGGAAGGAAGGTGAGCTTTGGGGAGATGGCCCTATGACACACAGCAGGAGAGCATTCCCAGGTGATGGTGACACCAAGTCAGAGAGGTGGCCCTTCTGAAAACTAGGACAACATTGAACTTCCAGGAAGATCTTAGGGGGCCAGGAAGTAGAATGGTAGAATACTCCCCAGGAAGAGGGTGTATTCAAAGGCCACTGGAGGGTTTGGGAGAATTGAGGCTAAATTCAAAGGACTTGGGACATGGCTGATTTGTTGGTGTGCTCACCTAGCACTCATGAAACTGGATTCATCCCTAGTCCTTCACAAAATGGGCACGATGGCTCACACTTAATAATCCAGCACTTAGAAGGGGGAGGCAGGAAAATCAAGAGTTTCAAGCTCTTTTTGGCTACATAGGGAGTTCAAAGCCAGTGTGGGATATGTGAGGCCCTACCTCTAAATAAAGAATGAATGCACCAGGCAATCATGCATTATTACCTAAGAACAAACGATCACACTGGAAAATAAATGTACTCTTAGTATAGAATGTAATTCAACAGTGTTGGTTCCAGTTATCCAAAATGTAGATTACAACTACATGAAGACAATGAAGGGAGAAGGTGTGTATGAGAGAGCAAAATGTATGCCAAAGAAAGAGGTCAATCTGGAGACAGAATTTAAACATAGCATTCAGAGGTAGGAAAGGATGAAAAAACAAGAATAGAAGATGATAACTTCCGAGGAATGGGGCCCAAGAGTGAGGAGATGTGGGATGGTAGGAAGCTTGATTTTCATTGTAAATCTAGTAGTTTGTGGGAGTCGCATTTTGCTAAAAGGCCGTGTTCCTATAATACAGTCTCTAATCCCACAGCTTTGGAGGTGGTGTTAGAGGATCAATAGTTTTTTAATGGAGGTGTGGAAGGAAGGGAAAGAGAGAAAGGAAAAGGGTTTTTTTTACTTTGTGGAATAACATGAGAACCAAAACCTTAGGCCACTAATAGTGTAGCTGAGGAAGAAGGGTCATTTGGAGCCTCCCTGCAGATAGCTCTTGTGACTTGGGATGCTTGAGACTGTCCCCTGCGTCTGTGATGCAGGGGAATGAGGCTCCTGTAATGCTCCTTGCACAGGGCCTTTCCTCCAGCCATCCATGTAGAATGTAGACACAGACATGAATTCATGTGTACATGCAAATGTATATGTGCATTGTCTTTGGAAACATTTTGAAATTTGTGTTTTCAAATAAATATTCAGCCGGTACTGTGCAGACTAAATGTGAACTACATAAGAATCCTGGTTTTCATTAGTCAGAAATGCCACTGACTTAAAGAATGGTGTGTACTTGCATCCTATTTGCTATTTGTTGTTATAATTTTGAAGGCTGCTTTGCAGACCATGGCTAGTAAGTCCTTCCAGATAAACCTTTGGAAGGGGGTAGGAGTAAGACTACATCTTACCTGGGGTTGGGGGTGCTCACTTTGCCTGCGTGAGGCCCTGGATTTGACCCTAGCAGCAATAATAACAGCAAATACTAGTGTTGAGAATGGAATGCTTGCCTAGCACTTACAAGACACAGAATTCAATTTCAAGAGTTCAAAAGAAGAAGAAAAATATTTATCCAGGCATGCTAGCTCATACCTGTGAGGTCAGCTTTCAGAGGAGCTAAGACAGGAGGACAGCTGTGAGCTTGACATCAGTCTGACTACATAATAAGTTCCAGCCCAGAGCAGTTGTAAGCCCCTGTCTCCAAGTAGTGACTGAGTACTAATCACACAAAACAACAATAGGTGCTAGAGAGTTGGCTTAGCAACTAAGAGTGTTTGCATTTCCCAGAGGACCTGAGTTCAGTTCCCAGCATCCACAGGCAGCTAACAGCTGCTTGTAAACACCCACTTCTGGCCTCTGAGAGTGTGTGCTCAAGTGGATACACAGAAATCCAAAAATAATGTAAGTAGATAAGCAATGAAGGATAGGGCAATTGTAAATAAAGCAGAGTGTTCTAAGGCCACAGTGGTGGCTGCTGTGATAGATGTTGTCATAACAAAATTCAGGGGCCTCAGTGCAGGCATTGGATTAGCAGTAGAGTCAGAAAAAGCATCCAGAGGCCAGGGAGACAACCCAGTGGGTAAAGATGTTTGCCAGGAGAAAACATTCAGGGTGACAGCAGGTATCTGGTTCTGTGTTGCCCTCGACTCAACAAACTTCAGTCCTCATTTTCTGTGCACAGAACCAAAGTCTACATGGATTAAAATGTTAAACATAAAAATATTAAGAAGATGCAGTATTTGTGATCTAGGGTAAGGAAACGTGATGGATGAAACTGATGACATAAGTTTAGCTTATAAAGTTGGGAGACAAGGCAAGGAGTGCCTGTGTATGAGACCCTTGAAACAACGTCCCCGTGTACTCAGAGCAAGAATACCCAGCAATGGAAACCACTGAACCATTCACTTACTTCTGTATGTATAAGTGTTTGCTTTTGTGTGTGTTTGTACACCATGCTCATGCCTGGTGCCCAAGGAGGTCAGAAGAGGGTACTGGATCCCCTGGAACTGGAGTTGTAGCTGTGTAAGCCACGGTGGGAGTTCTGGTAACCAAACCCAGGGCCTCTGTAGGAGCAACAGGTGTTCTTAACTGCTGAGCTCTGTCTCCAGCCCATCAGAGCATTTTCAGGAAGGGATCTGCCTCTTCCCTTAGCTGTCGTGGTCTCACTAGCAGTCCCTCCCACTGCCTGACCACTCCAGTCTCCTTTCTCTTCCCATCTTGTTACCTCTGGGTAACAAGGATGGAATCACCCAACAGTGGGGTTTTGAGTTAGATTGTTTTTCCTACTTAGTGCTTGAAGACTCATCTACACTGTAGCATTTGTCAGTACCTAGGTCCCTCTGGTTGGACCATGGTCCACTGTGTGGGTATATTCTGCATTTTACCTACCAGGCTCTTGGCTTGTTTGTATTCTTGACAGATTGTCATTACTTTAAAAAAATAACCTTCTAGGACCTAGGACCCCACACATGCCAGGCAAGACCTTGGGCAGATTTTTCAAGCAGACTCTATGCATTACAGCTTGGACTTCCTAGGAAGAGAGGTGGAGAAATGGGCTGACCACAGAGGCAAACCAAACAACTTTCATATCAGCATCATCCTTTACTTATAAAATTGAACATATAAGTAGGAACCACCAGAAATTTAAAGGAAGTCACCCATCAATATGAAACAAAACATCAAAACTAAAAGCAAACATAATTGAGGGACAAACAAGTAACTTGGGAAACATGATGAGGTGGAAGACAAAGGAAGCCATGGACAGCCCTGACTGACGACAGGGCTCTGTCCTCTGGGTCTGTTTAGTGATGGTTGACTCTAGAAGCCGGATCAAGTTCCGGTGGGGTAAGTTCTGCCATCAAGAGAGCATTGGCTGCTTGTTGGCACTAGCTCTGTGACATTAGCAGCCCCTGATAGCAACTCCGTGTGTTGATTCTGATGAGTCACTGGGGGATTGTACTGATTTTAAATAACTTGTATGAATTCTGAAATGGTCATCCTGTCCCTGTTACAGCAACTGAGCCAGTTTTGGTATAGTCAGGACACTGCTTTGCGACTTGCACAGGAATCGATCGCTGCTGCTGGAGAAGGTGGCAGGTAAGCTTCAGATTTTGCTTCTTTTTTCTTTTCTCGCTTAAATTAGTTTGAGGGACATGTGGAAACAATCATGACATTTATGAGGCACAGATGAATGTATAAATGAGTATTTTGAATGTCCTTCCTAAATGAGATGGTTTCTTAAAAGTCTGAATTGTAATATATAAATATTGTTACATGGTTTGCAGCTCATGACACACTAAGAACTTGTACAGTACTAAGTCTAGGGAACACTGGGAAATCTATTCACTGTAGCCTCTCCCCACCCCACCCCATTCTCTTGAGAGAGGGCCTCATATAGCCTAGGCTAACATCAAACTTTTTATGTAGTTGAGGCTGGTCTTGAACTCCTGATCCTTCTGCCTCCATCTCCCAAGTGCTGAGATTTCATGTGTGAGCCACCACACCCACCTTCAAGATAACATTTCTCATTTCTACTTTTTCTCTTTTTCTTTTGCAGCACTAGGGGTCAAGTACTTGTACTTGCTGAGCAAGCTACATCCTTATCTTCTTAGGGAAAAGTATTTTCTGAGGGTCAACCTCTAGCTTTGCTCTTACTGAGGAATCCCCTGGCCAGCATGCTGGGGTCTTTCAGCCACTTCTGTACTAGGCTACCCATTTCTGTGCTCCAGTCCCTAGTTTACAGCCTCATCTAAGTGGATTACACCCATAGCTTCCATGGAAGAGGTCTACAGGAAGGAATTGCCAGAAAATTGTTTTGATTTCCTCTTTCTCTGAACTTAATAGTTTTGCTGAGTATCTAATTCTGTCCTTGAAAATGTTGCTCTATTATTACTGTTAAGAAACCCAACATTCAAAAAGTCAAAGGAATGTAACATCATATTGACCTAAACCCTAACCCTAACCCTTCCTCCATCCCTACCCACTGCATGTTTAGAATTCTCTTAATCCCTGGTAAAGATGTGCAACTTCCTCTGTCACACTGGACCCTGGGGAGGCCTTTCATTCTTAAGGCTCATGTTTGCTTTGGAAGGTTATCTTAAATTATTTCTTCGATTTCCCCATCACTACTGCTGTGTGTGCGTGTGCGTGTGTGTGTGTGTGTGTGTGCGTGTGTGTGTGCGTGTGTGTGCGCGCGCGTGTGTGTGCGCGCGTGTGTGCGTGTGTGTGTGTGCGCGCGTGTGCGTGCGTGTGTGTGTGCGCACGTGTGTATGTGCGTGCGTGTGTGTGTGCGCGCGCGTGTGCGTGTGTGTGCGTGCGTGTGCGTGTGCACGTGTGTGCGCGTGCGTGTGTGTATGTGTGTGTGTGCGCGTGTGCGTGCGTGTGCGTGTGTGTGCGCGTGTGTGCGTGCGCGTGCGTGTGTGTATGTGTGTGTGTGTGCGCGTGTGCGTGCGTGTGCGTGTGTGTGCACGTGCGTGCGTGCGTGTGTGTGCGTGTGTGTGCGTGTGCGTGTGTGTGTGCACGTGTGTGTGCATGTGCGCGTGTGTGTGTGCGTGTGTGTGCGTGTGCGCGCGCGCGCGCGCGTGTGTGTGTGTGTGTGTGTGTGTGTGTGTGTGTGTGTGTGTGTGTGGTCCCTTTTCCTGGTACTTCTGTCATTTGAGAATGGGACCTGATCCTCTCACCACCACCCCTCATCCCCCCCTTTGAACCATTTGTGTCTACCCAGATTTTCTGGAAGAATTCTCAGCTTGTATCTGCTGTTGAGTTCTGTGATTGACTTAGGCTCTATTTTGGATTATGGTTTCAGACATTTTAGTTCCTGGTGTGCTGGCTTCACTTCAGGGCTCTAGTTCAGCAAAGCGGTACCTCTCAACATCCAGGAAGCAGACAGACAGGGGCTGGGTCCCTGGGCAATCTGTGCCCTTCAGAGGCCCAACCGCAGTAACCTGCTTTCTCCAGCTATACCAACCCACTAAAGTATCCACTCCGCCCTCAAAGTGACAGCCTGGCTGAGTACTAGGCCTCAACACATGAGTGATGTCTCCTTCCTGCATAGCCTCTGTTGATGCTGCAGTGATTGTCCCCTTATAGTTGATATTAGATGTCTATTAGACATTAAATATTCTCCTTGGGCCCTGCCTTTTGCTTCATACCTAAGGGTGGGTGGAACACTTAAAAACTGGAGAGTTGACCTAAGGGTGGACCTCATCTATTTATTCTGTTTGGTGTGTGCTGGGAACTAATTTCAGGTGAGGTGCATCCTTAGCCCTCTTTGCTGCAGTGTCTGTAGTAAGGGATCAGGATGAGCTGTTTTCCAGGAAGCCTCTGGGACTTTTCCCTTGTGCTGGTTGGAGGTCCAGGCAAGATTCTCCTCATCCCTGCCTGGAGGTTAGTAGCCTTCAGTGCCTGGAGGGAGTCTCAGTATCTAGTTGGTTTACTGGGACCTTCTAACTTCTCATCTTCTACCTGCTACCCATGATGCTGGGATTGGAATCCAGGGCCTGGCTATTCCACTAGCTACATCCCCGTGTAAGGGTTCAGGCATTACGCTGGCCTGACCCTGTCACCTGGCAGAATGCACTCAGGCAGTACTCTGGTCAGCCCAGGGTTCTATTGATTGCATAGTCTGCACTGGTGCAGACTTTAAGAGAAAGACCCCCACCCACTCATGCTCTCTTTCCTGCTGCTCCCCTGGATCAGACAGAACTTTCCTGTCTCCCTCTGGTCTTCTGTCCTCTATCTTGGTGTCTCTTTACCTCTTTTAACTTCCCCACCCCTTTCCCTTTCTATTAAAACTTCTCACTTAAGCTCTGTCTGCCTGGCATGTCTGTCCCTCCTCCTCAGGTCCCTTGCCTGCCATGGGATCCACCAAGGTCCCCCACAGGCTTTATCATAACACCCAGCCCTCTTCTGATTTCCACAGGGTACCTTCTGTCATCTCTGTCAGCCATTTCCCTCCCAAACATCCCCCAAGCCACAGAACATTCCTCTAGTTTTCTCCAGTTACCTTAGCACATGGGGATATGAAAGAGAACCCTGGGAACGAACTGTTTCTTAAATAGATCTTTCAACAACTTCTGTTTTTAGCCTCACCTTCACTCTGTGTCTTGGGTTTCCTGGGTCTACATCACCCTGAGCCCCTGGGGATGCTGAGATGTAAGTAAGCCAGGGACTGCTCAGCTCTCCTGGCTACTGACACCAGGTTTAGCTGCTTGGGCCAACTGAGCCAGCCAGCCACCCACCTGTTAGCTCTTCAGCTTCCTGAGTATAGTTACTTTACTCTCCTGCCTGTTCCCTTTGCTCACAGAAATGTATTCCTAAACAACAAAACAAAATGAAATTTTACTTGTTTGCTAAATGGGCTTTGATGAGGGAACAAACAGGCATGAATCACATGGGTGTGTCCTATGTGTCTTCCTCAGCTGGAAGTCTTTTGATTTTACATTGCTGTTTATTTGGTTTCTCTTAGCTTGCTGATTTTCAACCACTGATAAATATTTGAGATAGTGGCTCATTTGGGCTCATGCATTTGGAGGTTTTGGTTATGGTGAGTTGACCTGTAGGAAGCAGCACACACGGCAGAGATAGCCGGGAAGCAAAGCAAGGAAGCACATTCCCTATGACCCAGCTTCCTGGCACAGCCCCTTCTAATGAGCAGAGACCAAGGCTTTGACCATGTGCATCTCAGCTGGGCCATGGTGGCGCATGCGTTTAATCCCAGCACTTGGGCAGATCTCTGAGTGCCAGGCCAGCCTGGTCTACAGATCAAGTTCTAGGACAGTCAGGGATACACAGAGAAACCCGTCCTGAAAAAAACAAAAGCAACAAACAAAACAAAAGTCTATATAACATTTGGTGATAACATTTCCTTTGATATGTTGGATTTCCCCACTAATTAATAATGTTTACCATTAAATATTAATTAGAAGCACCTTTCTTTCTGAAAGGTGAGCTCAGTGTTTGTGGGAGCAGATTGTGCCCTCCCCATTGTGCCTTACCTGTTTCACTGTTGGGTTCCCATCCTGGGGAGCAGTTACATTTATACTCTGGGGAGCCGTTACATTTATACTCTGGGGAGCAGTTACATTTATACTCTGGGGAGCCGTTACATTTATACTCTGGGGAGCCGTTACATTTATACTCTGGGGAGCAGTTACATTTATACTCTGGGGAGCAGTTACATTTATACTCTGGGGAGCAGTTACATTTATACTCTGGGGAGCCGTTACATTTATACTCTGGGGAGCCGTTACATTTATACTCTGGGGAGCCGTTACATTTATACTCTGGGGAGCCGTTACATTTATACTCTGGGGAGCAGTTACATTTATACTCTGGGGAGCAGTTACATTTATACTCTGGGGAGCCGTTACATTTATACTCTGGGGAGCAGTTACATTTATACTCTGGGGAGCCGTTACATTTATACTCTGGGGAGCAGTTACATTTATACTCTGGGGAGCAGTTACATTTATACTCTGGGGAGCAGTTACATTTATACTCTGGGGAGCAGTTACATTTATACTCTGGGGAGCAGTTACATTTATACTCTACATTGCAACCACAGCTGCTGGAATTCCCGTCCCAAGCCAGCACAGATCCTTTTGTTGTTATTTTGTTTGTGTTTGTTTGTTTTTTGTTGTTTTATTCTTTGTATTTTCGAGACAGGGTTTCTCTGTGTGACTTTGGCTGTCCCGGAACTCACTCTGTAGACCAGGCTGGCCTGGAACTCACTGAGATCTGAGTGCTGGGATTAAAGGCATGGGCCACCACCCTGCTTGTTTCTGTTTTGAGACAGCATCTCACCATGTAGCTCTAGCTGTCTTGAAGCTCGATATGCAGACCAGGCTGGCTTTGAACTCAGAGCTATCTATGAGTCACCACACCCAGCTTTCTGCGTAGGTCTCGAGCATGCTTGTCTTTCAACTGCCGTGAATCTGTGTGTGCAACTGTCCTTTGTTCTGAAAACACTTTTCTTGTAGTCATCACCACCTGTAGCTCTCACACCCTTTCAAGCCTCTTCTCCCCCTCTGCACGGTGACCCCTGCGCCTCAGGAGGAGGGAGTGTGATAGAGATATCCCATCTGGGGCTTATAGTCTACATATTAGAGACCAGCAACGAATTGGTCACCTGTGTGAGATCAGCCCGCAGGGCCTGGCCAGTAGGAATTTGCATGCAGTCCCCTGGTTCCACTGCCTGCAAACTTCTACTGTCAGCCACCTCCTCCTCATGACCTCTCATTCCCTCTGTTATCATTCGTTATTGTTGTGTGAGACGGTGTCTCACAGTGTAGTCCTGGTTGGCAGAGAACTCACTGTATATCCAAGAATGGCTCTGAACTCCTAGCAGTCCTCCTGCCTCAGCCTGAGACTGTAAGGGTACACCACCCACCTCGCCCAGCTCTTACTCCTTGCAGCGTTGCTACTGGCCTACTGGAAGCACAACCTTTAGAATTTTTCAGGTGTGGCCTGCTGGGAGGTGAGCCTTCAGGAAAAACGTCTTTATTTCTTTCCTCTTCCTCCTTGAGCCCTGTTGTGAGCATGCAGTCCTCAAGCTGCTGCTCATTTTCACTGAGCAGTGAAGTTCCCGCTGCTTTGGGCTCCTTCTGCCTTTCTGCCCAGTGCAGAGGCACTGCACCAGGAGACTCATGTCCTGCCTAGGGTTTACTGTCTGCTGCATGAGAACTGGGCTGCAAAGCCTTCCCAGCCTCTGTGAGAAGAATGTCAGGTTGGAGATGGGTGGGAGTGAAGAGCGCCCTGCACTCAAATAGTGGCTCATGACTACCCGTGACTCCAGTTCCAGAGGGTCTGAGGACACTGCATGCGTGCACACACACCCAAACACGCACCTACATAGCAAGAGGGATGGGAGAGACATCCCATGGTTTATTTGGTTGTGAGCCTAGCCTTTAATGGCTGATACATCTCTCCAGCCCCCACCTCACTTTTTTTTTTTTTTTTTTTTTTTTTTTCAGACAGGGTTTCTCTTGTAGACCAGGCTGGCCTCAAACTCAGAGATTCTCCTGCCTCTGCCTCCAGAGTACTGGGACTAAAGGCGTGCCTACTGTGCCTGGCTGGAATTAGATATTTTAAATACCTGGTTCCTCAGAAGTGAAACCTGTAAAGTTTTCTTTAGATGTTGTTTATATTTGCTTACACTGTTAACTTCTTTAATATGAGCTTACTTTGTTCAAGAAAATCACGCTTTATGTATTAGCACGAAAGAGGCCTTTAGAGTTCCTAAGAGCTAGAGCTGGTGTGGCATAAATCCTCAGTTCTCAGAGCTCTTCTTTACATCTGGGGACCTCAGGGCACAAGTGAGCTGTCAGTGGTAGGCTGAACTGATGTTAGTGGCTCTTGCGCATAGCCTGGGTTTCTGCTGTTTCCATTCTTGTGTCCAATGGATTTGTTGATCTCATCAAGGAAACTTAAAGTTTGAGCATCTGTAATGAACAGTTTACAAATAATGACATTTGGAAGAAAAGTTGAAATCATGGTGTAATTTCATCTACTATGAAAAATAGTCACTGTTGTGGAATATTATTTTAACTGGACAAAGATGTGTTACATTTGTTTATGCTGCAGAATATTACTTTAGCTCTGTAAAGATGTGTTACTTTTGCTTGTGTTGCATTTGTTTAATTATGAAAAGGAGTGCTGCATAAATTGTTTCACCTTGCCTGCCTAAGACACCTGATTGGTCTAATAAAGAGCTGAGAGGCCAGTAGCTAGACAGAGAAAGGATAGGTGGGGCTGGCAGACAGAGAATAAATAGGAGGAGAATCTAGGCTGGGGAGAAGGAAGAGGAACTAGAGAAGGAGAGGGTGATGCTGCCTGGGGCCAGAAGCCAGGCAGTCCGCAAGCCAGCCGGCAGACATGAGAAGTGGTGAAAGTAAAATATACAGAAGGAGGAAAGGTAGTAAGCCCCAAGGCAAAAGGTAGATAAAGAGAAACAGGTACATTTAAGTTAAAAGAGCTAGCTAGAAATGAGCCTGAGCTGGGCCAAGCATTCAAAACTAGCAATAAGTCTCTGTGTCATGATTTGGGAGCTGGTTGGTGGCCCAAAAGAAAAAGCCTTGTTTGTACAAGTCACTGTACTTGATGCACTGGTAATTGTGTGAACTGACAGAAATGGCTGCAGACTAAACAGTGCAGTCTTCACAGAACCTCACACACCGGAAACTACATGGCTTAAAGTGGTGAAGTCTCAGAGGGCACACTGGGAAGTGTGATGTCTTCAAGAGATTTCCAACCTTACAAAGGTTGGAACCATCGTATGAACTGCCTTTTAGGAAGGATCATATTACATGGTAGTTGTTTTAAAAAGGGATCAGATGTAAAAGTCACCAATACATACAGTAAGATAAGTCATAGACTTTGCATGGATGTAATGTATTCTATAGAGTTATCACCAGTAAACAACTGAATGTATGTAAGTTTCCTGTATGTGGACGTACGCATTCAGTAAGGGGTAAGGAATCTTTAAGTTTTAAGTGGAACTGAATTAAAATACTCTTTTTTTCTAGTATCAGAAAAAATAAATAAATCTGAGCACAGAGACTATCTGCACCACTTATGACCTCAGGTTATGCACTCACTTCCAGAATTGCCTGTGTGAGTGCGCCCAGCGTGTATCAGAAGCTCCGGGAGCTGCACGGGGAGGGCATCTCTGTATACATCTTTGAGTACGACAGAAGGTTCGCCATATATGGGGAGGAATTTGTCTTCTATGATTACAACAATCCCCTGGATTTACCCGGAAGAATCCCCGAGCACAGTTTTGACATTGTGGTTGCAGATCCTCCTTATCTGTCTGAGGAATGTCTCAGGAAGACATCCGAAACAGTCCGGTTCCTGACTCGGGGCAAGGTTCTGCTGTGCACAGGTGGGTGCTGCCCTTCACATCCTGTGAGGGCCCTGTCAGGGTGCTGGCTTCAAGAGTTGGCAGAGGTCTTACAACTGGATCCTGGGTCTGCCATTTATCGCATGGCCTTAACGGAGTTATGTGACATCCCTTGCCCCAGAGGCCCATTGCGAATTGAGTGATGCAGCACACATGTGTTTAATATGGTCTGACTCATGCATGTGGACACATGTTAGCTATTGTGTTTAGTAACCACCACCATTATGACCACATACCTGCACTACATGCATAGCAGATCTATGTATCACATAACACGCACATACACACAATAAAAAGAAGCAGGAAAAGGAGGCACTTTGAAAACATGTTAGAGGAAGTAAAAGGGGACTATAAAGACTGTATCTGGGGCTAGAGAGATAGTTAAGCAGTTAAGAGCAATGGCTGCTCTGTCAGAGGACCCAGGTTCAATTCCCAGCACCCACATGGCAGCTCACACCCGTCTGTAACTCCAGTTCCAGGGCTTCTGACACCTTCACAGAGACACACATGCAAACAAAATACCAATGCATATAAAATAAAATAAAATTACTATCTCCTGTGCGCTTTGGGATTGTCCCCCAGATCCTCAGGGGTCTTCAGCTAGAACTCAGTTGTAGGCAGGCGTTTGACCATTTGACTCTCAGCTCACTTGGTGTGGTCTTCACAGGAGCCGTCATGGAAGAGCAGGCAGCTCAGCTCCTCGGTGTGAAGATGTGCAAGTTTATTCCAGAACATTCCCGAAACTTGGCCAATGAGTTCCGCTGTTACGCGAACTATGATTCTGGTCTGGACTATGAAACCTAAATTCACATAGCATTATGTGGCAATAAAGGACACCAAGGAACATGTACGTTTCCAAATTTATTCTTTCTTTTTTTGTTGAAACATGACCTCCCCCTCACTCTGCCTTGGACTGGACTCTCCTGGCTTAATTCTCAAAATAAAACTTATTGCTGTTTCTGTAATGAGGTTGGGAGTTTTGTTTTTTTGAGATAAGGTTTCTGTTTAACAGCCCTGGCTGTCCTGGAACTGGCTCTGTAGACCAGGCTGGCCTGGAATTTCACAGAGATCCGCCTGCCTCTGCCACCTGTGTGTGGAATTAAAGGTGTAGCCACCAGTGCCTGGCTTGAAGTTGGGATTCTTACACAACCCATGTTCATTGACTTAGAAATGTTAGAAGCTAACTAATTGTTCAACATCTGTGAAACAGAATAGGCATTCTGAATGGCCCAGGACCTTGGCCTCTCCTGGAAGTTTGCAAAATATGGGTAGCTTTTGCTTGCCCAGTGGACTGGGAATGAGTGCTCTGGCAGCTCTTGGACACCTGACCTGCCTCCATGCAGCAGGTTGATGGTCCAAGCCACCGGCATCGCAGCTCCTCCCGGGCAGGCTCAGCCTCCCTCCAGCTGAGAGCCCTGGTGGAATGTAGCATGGCTGTTCCAGCCCATGGCTCAGCTCAGCACTCCACGCTGTGAGAGGGGAAGGCAGTGCCAGCCCAAACTCTGTAACCAAGCAACAGAGCTGGGGGGTGAGCTGTATCTTCGCAGTTAAAAGCTATTTACATCCATCCATACCTCAGAAGTCTACAGAGCAATTAAGGGACAACTTCCAGGTGGAAGGTGGCACCTGCCTGCAGTCCCAACATTGGGGACGTTGAGGCAGGGCTGTTGTGAGATTGGGCCAGCCTGAGTCACTGTCTCCAAACCATGGATGTGTAGTTTGGAGAGATCTTGTGGGACATTATGCGAGTAGAAAAGCCAGCTTCAAAGCCCACACTCCCTATGTTTCCAGTCTCAATATTTAAGAATGGAGAACACCGCAGCAATGACAGGGATCAGGAGGGGACATGGCAAAGAAGGCTGTGTGTGGCCACAAAGGGTCATCTTCTGTGGTACTGGGATGCTCTGTCCTTTTCTGTGGTAGCAGCTTCACACATCCGCTTGTGATCACATTACAGGGTGCACGTGAATCTGGCTGACTCCAGATGGCATCCAAGGACAGTCATTGCTGTTCTCCTGGCTGTGATGTCACACTACAGTTACCCAGTGCGCTGCTTTCAGGGTGCTGGGTCTCAGGCCCTCCATATGTCTAGGAAGGAGCTCTAGCTGGACTAGAGGAGGATTTCTGAGATAAAAGCCAGAGTTCATGGGGAACTTTGTGAAACTGGCTTTCCATCCCCAAAAGGAGTCCCTTGGCCATCTACTTGTCTTCCGCGTAACCCACATGATCTGTCCACCCCCCGACTGTCAGCCTCACTGCTCATACTGTCTTCCCTCTCTCTCCCCCTCTCCCTCTGCTGTCTCTTACTATCTCCACTGTTCTCTCCCACTTCCCTGTCTTGTTTCATTACCTGAAGCAGTAGCAAGGAACACTAGCCATGTCCATCTGCGTTCTTGCTATCTTTTCTGTCTACATCTTGTACTGTCTTGCTATGCGATATCTTTTGCTATCTCCACTAGTCTGTCCTGCTCTCCTGCTTCCCTAGGCCTGGCCATGTCCGATCTGCGTTCCTTTCTATATGCCTTTGGGTATATTCTCTCTTGCCCACAATAAACCCTGTGCCCTAATGGAGCAGCCATGTTGACAGTTTGTGTGCCACACCCCCTCACAGGAAACAAGTCATGAGTAAGTATGTAAGATCCTTCTGGTGGTCTGGTAACTTTTGAGACCTACAGTCTTGTCAAAATTAAAAACAAAACAACAACATAAGACTCTGCCTCTCTGGGAAAGGATGACTTGCTTTGATCAAAAGAATGTCAGTTGGCCAACACATGTCACTTATTCTATCTCCCACTCCCACACTGACCAGCAATTCTCCAAGTGGAAGTTGCTTTAACTCTTGACTCGGGCAGCACCACAACTCACTTGCAGGGGAGGAGAAATGATCCTGGTTGTTGGGCACCTGTGTTGGCTAGTTTTGTGCCAACTTGAGACAAGGCATAGTCATCAGAGAGGAGCGAGCCTCAATTGAGAAAATGCCTCTGTAAGATGAGGCTGTAGAAAAGCCTGTAGGGCATTTTCTTAATTAGTGATCAATGGGGGAGGGTCCAGCCCATTGTGGGTGAGGTCATCCCTAGGCTTCTGGGCCTGGGTTCTATTAAGAAATCAGGCTGAACAAACCATGGGGAGCAAGCCAATAACAGCATCCTCTAGGTTCCTGTCCTGACTTCTTTCAGTGATGAATTATGATGAGAAAGTGTAAGCAATAATAATAATAAAATAAATAAATAAATAAATCCTTCCTTCCCCAACTTGCTTTTGATCATGGTGTTTGATCACAGCAATAGCAACTCTAAGACAGCAATAGTGACTGGAGGACAGCACCAGAGAAGATGGACTTGTTACTACAGCAGGCAACAACCAGCCTGTCCTGGCCTATCCAGGGGCAGAGGCCAGGGACAGGAGTCTGTGCTCTGAGATCCTTAGACTTTGGCTGTCACATTCCCAGATGTCTTCACTATATATAAGAAGTGCTGCTTGTATGAGACACCTGGCAAATGTTACATTGTTAAAAATGTTCTATAAACAATAGTCTCTACCTTATTGTTTCTATAGGAATCAATTTGCCACAAATTCCTTAGGCCAGAAACAAACATTAAGTGACAAAGTATGGAATGTTCAGTTTGGGAGCTGTGCGCTATTAACTGTAGAAATCAGAAAGAAGTTGTCCTGTAAGCTGCAACTATTGTAGGAAAGAGACAGGGTACAACTCAACCGGTCAGAAGTGCTAGGCCTACAGAACCACATCATGAAGGTTTGGTTCTCTACCCCCCTCATCTTTTGTAGGTTGAAGCCAGGGCCCCATGCTATATCCCCAGCCCTGTAACAAGCTTTAAGAAGTAGCCAACATACTTAATGGCTTTGGGACTCTTGATGTTGCCTCAGTGGTGGTAAATCTGTGTTCATACATGACCCATTTCTGAACCTCATAAAGACCTTTAGCTGTTTCTGGGGCTCTCAGAAGACTTGTTGGGTGCATTCTGTCTAACCAGGCAGAGGTACTTGGGCTAAATTCAAGAAGGCTGGCCCAGGAGACATTTCCTCTCTCTCTCTGCCCACATCACAATAGGGGACACAGAACAAGCATCCACAGATGCTCAGAGCAACTTTGCTTCTCACACTTTGTATATGGTTAGAATGTGAAGTGGCTCCCACAGGCTCATATGTTTGAACAGTTGGTCCCCAGCTGCTGGAGCTGATTTGGGAGGTTGTGGATCCTGCATCCTAGCTATTATCAGTGAGTCACTAGGCATGAGCCATTAAAGTGATGGTTACACAGAGCTCTCTCCATCCTGTCAGGGGATGTGACCTGATGCCTTCAGGTTTTCCTGTGATGGCCTGTACCCTTTGAAATATGAACCATACTAGTTCAAAGTATCAAAGATTTCAGAGGTTGCAAAGAACCATCTACTACTCACCCTTGTGAGCCCTTTCTAGTTGGAAGATCTGAACTCACAGTACCCATCCTGAAGGGGGAGAGAGAGGGAGGGAAGGAGGTACTGGTTTTTTGCAGTTTTGCTCACAGAATCTAAATGTTTCTTGAATCCACTGCAAGAGCAAATGAAAGACATGGGGGACTTTTAAACAAGTCTCTTGTTTTTCACCTTCTTCCTTCCTTCCTTCCTTTCTTTCATGATTTTACAGTGTTCTATCTGCATGTTGCCGGCACACCAGATCTTATTTTACATGGTTGGGAGCCACCATGTGGTTGCTGAGAATTGAACTCATGACTTCTGGAAGAACAGCCAGAGCTATTAACCTCTGAGCCATCTCTCCAGCCCCTCCCTTTCACTTCTAAAATCAGAGCTGGAGCCAATTACTAAGAAACATCTTATTGTTGTATTTTCTCCTTTGCATTGATGAGAAAATAAACTAAGAAGTTTGGGTAATTGGTCCCTGAACATGGAATTGCTGGTATTAGCCCAAAGCTGGCTGGTTGCATTATGTTGTTTAGAGACAGTGTGTCATAGTTAATGTCAACTGAACACAATGGTGTATCTAATAAGTCTCTAGGAACAGAACTGTGTCCTGTCAGAAAGTTTAAGAATCCAATTACTGTTCAGTCTACGCAGCTGGGTGTCTCAGTTGCTTTTTGGCATAGGTCTGAATCTTGAAGAAGTAGGCTCTAATACAAGTGAAGGGTTGCTTCAGGATAGATGAATTAACAGTGAGGGTGAGGGCAAGCAGGCAGAAACCTAAAGCTTTTCTCTCCCAACTCTACATGGGCTGCCACCAGAAGGTGTGGCCCAGATTTAGGTGGGTCGTCTGAACAAAAAAGATATGGGGATGAAAAAGTCCTCAAGCTTGTACAGCAAGCACTTTAGTGACAGACCTATGTCCCAGGGGCACATCTCCAGTGACCCAAGGGCCTCCATGACACCTTTTTTTTTTTTTTTTTTTTTTCCTATTCCCTGAAAGGGAGAGGGTGTGGCACACTGGTTGAGATCCTACTTTGAATGCCCAAGGGTTTGGGCTTCTTCCCAACTCTCCAAACAAGTTCTAAGCAAAATCTGGAAAGAAATGAAATGCACACAGCCAACTTCCTTCAGCTACCATTGTTTTAGTGGTGTAGACAGAACTTTTACAAATATGCTCGGGGCAGATTTCCCACTTAAATGAGAGTAAGGATTTAGCCCCCAGTTTAATACCCAGAGAAAGGCCTCCACACCCCCTCCCTCTTCCTCCACAGGCTTGGCTTGAGCCAAAAGCCCATAAAACTAAGCCCATATGTGTTTGGAGCTCCCTGAGAACTGTCTAAGCTGTCACATTCCACCTCCTGCCATAAATTTGGACCAGTGGATTTCAAAAGTGGAAGAAAAAACACCAAAAAAAAAAAAAAAAAAAAATTAAACTGTCATAAAGTTGAGACCATCCATATGCTAAAGAACAGAAGAGAAGTTGGTTTCTAGAACCGGAGACCCTTCAAATCCCTCTCTCTTTTGACCTGAGAGGCCTTCAGGGCACAGATTCAGAGCACCCATTTCACCTTGGTGAGCCTTGGCAAAAGGCTGAACTCAGAGACAGGGCACAGTGTCGGCTAAAAGAAGTTTATCTGAGCACCACAATTATGGACGCAAGAATCCTATTAGAGGAAAACGGATGTTTATAATTCGCTTGTATGTCAAGAAAATTTTAAAAATAACATGCTTGCTCTAAATTACTAATATGAAAATAGTTTCTGCCTCTACTCAAAATAGCCTTAGGTATGTAGTGTCTACTTTGAAAAATACAAATATACTTAAAGCTTATGTAGCTGTTCCTTCGGAAATAGTAGGAAGCCGCGGGGACAGGGATGGACAATGGGAGTGTGTGAGAGGGGTGGGGATGGGTTGGGGGGACAGAAGCCCGCAGGAAGCTGGGTGGTGCCGGCCAGCCCCAGTCCCATCGTCATCAGCGCCCGGCTGGCCTGTCGGGCCCGAGCAGCAGCTTGGCTCCTGGCTTGTCCATGCTGGAGTTGGCGCCGTCCGAGGCCTTGTCCGGCTCCGGCACGCAGGTGCAGCCCACCGGGATGGTGACGTAGTGTTCGGCATAGACTGAGCGGCCGCCCGCGCAGGCCGCCGTGCGGCGCAGCACTACGGCTGGGGAGTAGACAGGTGTGCTGCGGAAGCGGAAGTCCTCCTCACCAAAGAGCCCGGTCAGGCAGCCACGGCACAGGCAGTAGGCCTCAGGCAGGTACCTCGGGAAGCGAGCAGGGTCGTACGAAATCCTGCCAACAGAGCGAGAGCGTGAGGGCTGCGGCAGGGGCATCACCGTGAGTTCAAGGCCGGCTTGGGCTATATAGCAAACTGGGCCAAACGAGGAAGATCTGAGTAGGGCTGGGCCCAACGACTCATTCAGCAGTTAGCATCCTGGTAGGGCCCACTTGGAAGAGAGACCACTAGGCGGTGAGCTCTGACCTGGAAAAGATTGCTCTCCTGTGCAGCTTGACCTCAGTCAGATTTGAGATCCTGGATGCTGCATGGACCACTATCCTTGAGTGTCTATAAAACTACGCTGCATTGGGGCTGGAGAGATGGCTCGGCATTCCAGAGGACCTGGGTTGAATTCCCAGCTCACAACTGTCTGTAACTTCAGTTCCAGGGGACCCAACACCCTGACACCCTCACACAGACATACATGCAGGTAAAACATCAGTGCACCTGCGTGTTAGTGGAACATGCCTTGAGGAAGAGCTCTGTGAGGCCAGCCTGGAATACACGGAGAAACTGTCTCGAAAAAGCAAGCAAGCAAGCAAATAAACAAAACTAAAAACCACCAAATATATAAAAATAGATACATTATTTAAAAAAACAAAACCCTACCCTGTGCCAAGGTCACTGGTACAACATGTAGGTGACCCCTGGGCTGTTTTGTCAACCCTGAGGAGCCAGCTCTGTGATTTCAATTCCAGGCCTGCCAGGCTCTGCAGCTCAGATGTGTTCCCTGCGGGGAGGTACAGTTCCTGCAGATAGCCACACCTGTACAGAAGGTCATGCTGTGTGTTCTCTAAAGAAGCTAAAGCAGCAGCAGGGAATGGGAGGGCTGGCTGGCTGGCCAGGGACACTTAAAATTGGAAAAAAAAAAAACCTTTAAATTCCATCATTCTGATTTATCTCCAAGTCTTTCAGTTTCAAATCAGATGCCAAATGTAAACAGCTCCAGGGTAGCCTGTGGCCAAATCCTAGGGGAGGCCATAGTTAGCTATAACCAGAGGCTAACCTGGAGACAAAAGCAACCCAGGACAGAGCCTGCTCTCACAGCAGCCACCTACACAGCTGCCGAGACCCAGAGGGTCATCGGCAGGGACCCAGGACCCTTCTTGAATGTCTCCTTGGTGAGGGAAGCATTATTCTCATTGCTCATGGGTCTTCTGTGTGCCTACATCCATGTCCACTAACCTATGCATCCCTTATGGGTCTGCTCTTTCTAGAGCCCCTCACATCCATCATCTGTTAGCCTTTACCTTGCTACCTGGGGACAGCAATGGGAGGCACCAAACAGTAGCCTGAGTCTAGTGAAGAGTAAGGCTATATGGGAAGTCCTTACTTAATTTCATACCAGTTTTGTTTTGTTTTTAAGACAAGGTCTCACTGTATAGCACAGGCCATACTGGAACTCTCTATGTAGATCATGCTGGCCTCAAACTCACAGATCTGCCTGCCTCTGCCCCTTGAGTGTCAGGAGTAAAGTTGTGTGCTACCATACCTAAGCTTGAAATGAGGGCACATGTGTGAGTGTAAGAATGTTCCAGAGGACCTGTGTGTATAGATTCAAGGCTGTATGTGAGCATGTATGGTACACAGATATGTATAGGGCATGAGCATGTTTGAATGTGGGAGCATGTTTGTGTGTGCTGAGTCTGTGATCGTGTGTGCTCATGTGTGTGGTGGCAGGCTAGGGATCTGGTGGGAGCTAGACCAGAGGGCAGGAATTTAATCAAAGTAGCTCTCTGGATGGGGGAAGAAGACAGGCTACCCAGCATCCAGTGACACTCCTGGAGAACTCAAGAGAACTCTGGGAAGACCTACTGAGATGAGGTGCTTCTCTTTGGCATATCTGTTTGACCCAAGACCATCACGCACCCCTTTCGGTGCTAACCGGAATCCTGGGTGTCCTTCAGGAGCAGCCAGCATTCAGATGCTACTCTTGTTAGTTTTGTAGGTGAAATTGTTATTGCTTTGGTGCCTAGTAGCTAAAAGCTCATCCAACTAAAAATATCCATCCCAGCACTCCAGTTGGTTCCAGACCAAACCTTTCCACTTCACCTTGAACCCTTTGGACAAAGGCCAGTGACAAGACACCCACATCCCCATCCCACCTGCCTCCTGGGATAGAATGAAGGAATGAACATGGGGTATTTTAAAAATGTGTCTTTGAGACCTGGTTGTTCCCTGCACAGGAAGGTACTCGACCTGGAGACCTTCCACAGCAGTGCCATTTCACTCAGAAAGGCAAGTAGTCCCTGAGTTTATGGGTGCCCAGCTTCCTGCCTAATCTGGAGAAATCACCAGCTCCATGGGAAAGAAAGAGCAAGGCCTCCGTAGGGATCCCCTTTCTTTTCCAAACATGGAAATGTAGCCCAGCAGAAACCCTTCCTGGCCTCCCTGGCCAGTCCCCATTGTGTGCAAACTTGGCATAGGCCCTTCTTGAAACACATCAACTTTTCCCCACTGACGAATCTCAGGAGCAGCCCTGGCCCCCATGAAGTTTGGCTGGGGTGAGTGACAGCTGGTGGGTCTTAATCCAAGAACAAAGGACAAGTCCTCCAGTGATGATTAGAGGTGATGGAAGCTGAGCTCTTGGAGGAATGTAAGTGACAGCAGGGACAGAAAAAGAGCGCTTGATGCCCCTGGGCCTGGACACGTAGGAAACAATTCTAAGCGGTTCCGGAGGCAGAGCTCAGAGAACAATGAACACGTTCCCAGGAGGAATCTGCCACCTGATGTGTGCATCTCAGGGCCAAGTGTAGCCAGGCAGCCACCAGCACAGTTTGCCACTTTGAAAAACATATTTCCATTTCAAAGTAGCAGAACCCAAGGATGACTGATTCTCCCTGAGCAAACCAAAAATCTCCAACCCCAGGCAACAAGCTAAGAGGTCATGACCAGAAGTCCAGGGCACCCATGAGAAGTGGGGACAAAATGGCCTCAGCAGCCTGAGTCAGCAGCACTGAGGGCCAGTGAGTCCAGCCCAGCAGACTTTCTAGAAAAGGCAGCAAAGTGCAGATAGGAGTCCTGGAAAGAAAATGTTGGTTCAGTCTAGTCACCCACAGTGACCCAGAGCAAACCATTACTGCTGCCAGTTGAAGGAGATGGTTTGACAGGAAGGCTACTTTGCCAGCTTCCTGAGGGGCCTTTAGATCAGGCTTGAGTTTTGGAAAGGTCTTGGAAAATTCCCTCAAGGGAGTGTATTCTTTAGTCTATAACATCAGCTGAGAATCCTCTGAGAAGGCCCTTGTCAGTTCAAGCAAGACTACCAACATGGGGCTTTGAGAACCTGCAGCAGAACCAAGTATGGCTCTTGTTTAAAGTGAAGGCTCTGGCAGAGTGGGGTGTGACACACCTGTCAATGTAGTACTCAGAAGGCTGAGGCAGGAGGACTATAAGTTGCAGGACAGCCTGGGCCACATCAAGTTTGGGACCCGGTTTCCTGACAGAGATGTGCCAATCATCCTGACTTTTTCTTTATATAATGTACTCATGTATTGAAACCTTACATGGTGCTCATGAATATGCATAATTATTGTGCCAATAAAAAATTAACATGTCTTAGAAGAACAGAACTATAATTTCTAGTCTTCTTGTGTGTTGTGGAATATTACTTTAACTATGTAAAGATGGTTACATTTGTTTAGTGATGTAAAGTTGTGTTGCTTTACCTGCCTAAGGCACCTGATTGGTCTAATAAAAGGCTATAGGGTCAATAGTTAGGCAGTAGAGAGACAGGAGGGGCTGGCAGATAGGGTAAATGGGAGGAGGAATCTGGGCTCAGGAGAGGAGAGAAGGAAAGATTGAGGGAGAGAGGGGCTTGCCAGCCAGGCAGCTGCCAGACAGACAAACATGGAGTAGGACATACAGAATAAAAGGTAAAAAGTCCAGAGGTAAAATGTAGATGAAGAGAAACAGGTTAAATTAAGTTAGAGGAGCTAGTAAGGCAAGTGTAAGGTAAGCTGAGCACTCATAACTCATATTAAGTCTCTGTGTCATGATTTGGGGGCTGGCAGTCTGAGAAAGCCACTGTCTGAGTGTGCAGCCGTCTGCTCTGCTTACTTAAACTGGACGTCTTGAAGATGAGTCCTCAGAAATATGGCTTCACCGAGCAGCAGTACTACATCTACTCTGGACGGCTAGCCATTGTTACCACGGACATAATGACAGCAGCTAGCGGCCAACAACTGGATGGCACATTTTTCCCAGTGCCTTTTCTGTGTGACCAAACCAGCCCCAGACTGTCCTCCATGCTAACAGTTCATACAGGTCACTATAACCCAGGCGTCGGCATGGCCATGGGATGGCTATGGGACTTACTTGTGCTTCATTGGAGGTACATAAGTGGGTTTTTTAAAAATAGTCACTCTCTTCCTTCACCCCTAGAGATTCTGAATTAATTGCTCTGGAATGAGGCCAAGATGTTGCCATTTAAAAAAAAAAAAAAAAAAAAAAGCCTCCCAAATAATTCTCACAGGCTGTTCAGGCTGTTTGGTCTCCATGTTTAAGAAAAGTAATGAAGCCAGACCTGATGATTGATACACACTTGCAATCCCAGCATTTGGGAGGCTGAGGCAGGAGGATTGCCACAGTCTGAGGCTAGCCTGAGCTGTGTAACAAGACCCTGTCTTAAAACGAAAAAGAAGTACTGAAATATGAAGGTTTGAGGCCTGGGTGCCTCTCCAGGGTACAGTGCTAGCCCCTTCTGAGAGTCGATTTAGGCTTCCGCTCCCAGCACTGTGGGTTAAAAAAAAAAAAAAAAAAGAGGATTTGTAACCTTCTAATCTCCCATGTTCCCTTTGGAGCTAGCCTTCCTTCCAGCTGGGGTGGGCCGGAGTCACCACACTATAGGGGAAATCTCCCTGTATATAAACTACTGTCCAGGACCTGGAGGAGTGGGCTCTGTGGGTAAGCAGGGGGTAACTGGGGACACTGGAGGCTACAGACAGCTTCCCTCTAGGGGGAAGCTGTGGCCAGCAGGCCCATCAACTCCACCCTCCTTCCATTTGCTAGGGCCCCA